CGGGACTTGAACCCGGGGCTCACTCAAGACACACAACGTGTTTAACCACTGCGCTATCGCGTCGAACGCTTACGCTTATTGTTTGTCTACGGTAGTAATCGAAGTTCTTGGATTGTTTTCCTTCTACTCTTAATGACCTCTTTATTTCATTGCGATATTGCCAGTGCTGAACAAATTTCACTGTACGTACGATGTGGAATTTTATCACCTTCAGAAGTGATTAAAATTATTCGAAATAGGCTGTGATTGGCTAGAATAGTTGTCGAACTTCGTAGTTATGTGACCAATTAGACAACTTCATTCCGTCTGAACTCGAAGTCAAGGTGGGCGTTGCATTCCCTCTTTCCCAGTAGAATTTCTTCATCACATTGAGATCTGTCGATTCTACGTCTCAATTTGCTGAAATTTTGAGTACTGACTGTGAATATGAAATAGAAGTCAGAAAATTTTGTGAAAAGTTGGTAGTTATAGGTGACGAGCATCATAGTTTTTCCGTAAATCTCTTTGGCTGCGAATGAAATCACTCGGAGGGGTGATCGGAAATTGGCCAATGGAATTGCTATATTTTCGAATAACCAATCGAATCACTAGAAAAATGAAATCACCAATAATCAAAACAGCATACATATGTTATATGCTTACTGTTAAACCATGCACCTTAAACCCACGCTTTTACTGTTAATTTGGAGGAATTCCCCGGCAGCAGGGGGTGACCCCCTGCTGCAGGTCCAACACTACCTGTTCTCGGGGAATTTGAAAATCGCCGGATAAACATCCGGATACGTAAATTCTTCCACAGATAAGACCGTTGGAAACCAACGGCTTTTGCCACGAGTCACTTTTCAAAATGACTTCATGTGGTCGCCTCAAGTGCATGGTGGATGGCTGTGGCGTTGTCGTGTGGTACACCTACTTCAAGGTGCACATGACCAAGGACCACCCGGAGATACCCCAACACCGCAATATCCGTAAGCAGTACGGCCGCCAAGTCGATGCGAACAACAAGGTGCTTGAGGACGAGGGCGTCGCAGATTTGCACCCTGACGACGTACCATTGTTAAAAGGGTCCTCAAGTATCGTCTCGAAGGTGAAACGACAGTGCGCTTGCTGTTGGCGCTTTGTCGCAAGAGTGGTAGTGATCCTAAGGTACTCCTCCAGCCCATGATTAACCAGCATGAGGCGGACGTGGACTACGCATTTTCGCCGCCTACAACCCCTGTATCGTTGCCCTCGTCCACCCCTGTTCCACCTCTTACGGCCACTGTTGCAACCATACCTGCATCCAGCATTCCGTCAACTCCAGTTGTTGCTCCTATTCCCCCTTCGAAAGCCACAGACCCGAAAGAATTTCGACGGCTTAGCAGACTGACAAAAATGTTGTTATAAACGCTTTATAAGTGGAATATATTCATGTTGAAGTGTTAACTGTGAAATGTTTTGAACTTTGCAATTGTAGAAATAATAGAAGTTACGTTATTTTTAGAGATTGCAGAGGGTATGTAAGTTATACTATTCGTTACTGTAGAAGTTATTGAAGTTATTTATATACTTCTACTTCTACTATTCGTTACTGTAGAAGTTATTTAAGTTATTTATATACTTCTACTTCTACAGAGAAGTTATTGAACTTCAATTATTAATACTACTTCTTGAAGTTTTTTAAATTAAAGAAGATATTGAACTTACATATGTTACACAAGTTATACTATAACTTTATTAACATGTAAATACTCAAAGAACTCAACTTCACTTTTAGTTTCGCATTCCATTAGACTTCGTACGCCGTTTTGGCTTCGGACCGGGCTTGGATGGGTTCACATCAACTCCACACGCACGTGGCGCTTGTGAAAGTGGGTCGTTGGTAAGATCTTGGGGTGGGATTGGAACGATGTGTCCTGAGTATATCAACTTGAAACGCTTGGTCGAGTAAACGTCGTCGAAGTACTGCATTGGGTCCAGCCGTAACAAGTTGTAGCACCGCACAGCATGGATGCACGGCTTCTTGGTGTCAAACCAAGTACGGCACTGACACGTCTGGGCTTCGAGGTCCACAAAGCGCCAAAGGTAAATATTGATTGCATTTGGATCGAAATACATTGCTAAAAACGACTTTCCCGGGAGGATCACATCAACCTGCACACGAATAAGTACAAAGGACATAATATCATCGAACCTCGATACTGCGCGACTTGATTAGTAGGTTTTGATACAACCTTTGATGGACTGGTGTCATGGCGTCCTCAGGCCAAGTCGCGCTCTTGGATCTAGTCAGCGTTTTGTTATCACACTTGTCTAGAAAGTTATAAAAGCTCTATAACTTATAGAACTTCTTGAAGTAATTGAGTCGTAGAAGCTCTGTAACTTATGGAAGTTATTGTAGTAATAGAACTATACGAAGTTCTAACTATGTTTATACCGTCTCTCGTTGATGTCTTTCAGCAGATGATGCATGTATCGAAAGTGGAGCATCACTGCACTGAGCTGCGAAGCTCGTTGCCCAACCATTGATTAGCGGACTCACTCAAGTTCGAAGTGACGTTGTCGTAGGTTGGTCTTGGAAAGGCAAATGTCACCCAATGCTTGATCGGGATGTCCAAGAGGTATGCAGCAACATCTATAACGAGTGTGTTATATTGGAAAAATTAGTCAATGCACCTGGATTGAGAGCACGCATCTTCTCCATGAGTCGTGAAAACGTTTCCTGGCTGTCTGACCTAGCCAATTTAAACACGACGGCTTCTTCGCTGCTTGCCAATCTGCGTCCCAAGGACGTGTTGATGTTTGCGATGATATGCCGCATGCAAAATCGGTGAGGTGCATCAGGGCACACCGCAGTGCAAGCGTTGATCAGGCCTATAACGCACACTGCGTAACTTCAAAATGTACTGGAAGTTTCGTAACAAATCATAACTTCCATAACTATTATTACTTCTATGAATTGCATTATTAAAATAAGTTATACATTTTCATACCTTTCATACGATCGGAAACAATCACAGTGCTTGACAGAAGGACACCAGCGGATTGCAGACACCTCAGGAACCAAGTCCAGTGTTTGCCATTTTCAACAGGAACCATGGCGATTCCTAAATTAGACTTAGTGCATAGTAAAGTACAACACTACCTAGCACGACGAGGTGGTTGTTTGGATCCTTCACTGTCGCCAATAACAGCACGCCGTTCGAGTTCATCAGGTCTTTCAAATGAGCGCCAATAAGTACAGTAATTAATCGCGGAACATGTTAATGTATTACCATCAACGCAACGAGGTTTTGACAATGCTGGAAAGCATTGACGCAAAAACCCGGCACAAGGACACTTCGATAAAACGACCCATTTCTTGTTTCCACGGACGTAAACGTTCCAGGGTTGCGGGACTTCAGCAAGTCGAAGTAGCTGGCAACTTTTGCGAACGCCATGTCGACGGATCCATAGTAGTGCTTGACCAACGCGCGCTTTGCACGGCTCGCAGAAGATGTTGAGATGGTTTCGCCATACAAACGTTGGATTTGGCCGACGATGTACTTCCCCGTGAGCTGACGCGGGTCCGTACTGGACATTGCAATATCCGGATTGGATTGCAGGGCATCGAGAATCTCGACTAGTTACATAAATTAAATTAGTTATGTAACTATTAGAAGTTAAATTAGTTATGTAACTATCATAAATTCAAAACTACATGAATTCTCACCACAGACTTCGTCATACCGGGGTGGCGACTCGCATCCGAGGCTTGGAAAAGGGGGTGGTTGTGCAACAAGTTCATGGTAGTTATAGAAACAGACTTGTCCACACGCATTGACGCTCGAACTGCAAAATCACAATCCTCGTTACAACAAACCCACTTTCCAGTGATTTTGTTACGATACTTTTGTGCTACACGAAAGCCTTGTTTCAATGAAAATGCATTCAATCTCTCACGCAGCAACACGAAACTTCCAAAATCATGAACCTTCACATTGTTGATCACGCTACCGACAATGTAGTCGTCGGAGGTGGCAGTGTCATCCGTGAAATGCATCTCCATGGCAAGGAGCAAATACTCATGCGAAACAAACGATGTCATGTGAGATTAAAAACGAAGTGATTGATCAACAACGACACCGGTTAAGCTTGAGTTAAGTACGGATAAATTCTGTGGCTGTGGATCCCCTTGGTGTGAAATTCTACTCTACTGATCTGTGCAACTACTGTGGAAGAATTTACGTATCCGGATGTTTATCCGGCGATTTTCAAATTCCCCGAGAACAGGTAGTTTTGGACCTGCAGCAGGGGGTCACCCCCTGCTGCCGGGGAATTCCTCGTTAATTTGCCTTGATTTACTCGAAGTATTACTAACAGTAAATGAACGCTAAACTGTAGTCTATTGATCAAGCCGATTAAATAATCAGAAGAGTGCCCAACCTTTCTGCTGTACATGCAGCACATACAGAATTGAAATTCTGGTCCTGAGAGACAAATAAGTTGTTTTCTACGATGATGTATGTTTTAGTGCACCATAAATTGGGCATCTACACTACTCGGAGTACATTGTACTTACTAGTACATACTATATATACACAGGTTTACAAAAAAACACTAGTACATACTAGTTTTTTTTTGTAAACCTGTGTATATCGATAATTCTGCAAATAAATCAGATATAACGTTCGTTAGCTACATCATTCTTGACAAATTATGTCCCGTAACTTTCAGTGTATTCTAAGACGACTCTCTAACGGTGAAATTAGGTTCCAATTCTGTATTTGGAAGTATAAGTTTCCGTGAGGAGGAAGAACTTTTTCGTACCAACTGAACGGAGACATGTCGCATCTGTACTTCCCCAACGGAAAAGCTCAAATAGGTGACATTTTTCATGAAAGTTCCAGGAACTCGGCGAGGTAGAGATATTATTTCAACCAATGACATGCCAAGGATTGTCGTCAATGAAACTCTTGCCATTCTTCAACATGCCCTGTTTCCCCCATCCGACAAAGTTGGTGCTCACACTTCACAGCGCATCGCTTCTTCCTGGTCCAGCCATGCGCAACGTCCATGCAGTAGTCACCAGCGGCGACAAGACCTTCCAAAGCAACTCCTTTCATCCCAAAACCACGAGCCCCATCTGGGAACAAGCTGCATTTGCGTTCAACGTCCGTGCAAAGACACACTTGTGCATTCATGTCCGAGTTGTGGGCACCAAGAATCTTCGCAAGCGTGGCCTAGGCCACTTTTATCTCAATTTCTCGAACCGTCGCCTTTCAAAACAAGGCACACTCGCCCTCACGTGCCCGCTCGTCGGCGGCTGCGGTGGTATCGTGAATATGTCGATCCAGATATTGTACGAAGCCCATCCAATACGTGACTGGGCAATACGCGAAGTAACGAAAGACATTTCAACGAGGCGACCCTGCCACTCGCTACTACAATGCGTGGCAAAGGGGTCGATTCGGGAAGATATATTCAAGAACGCCTGTGGAGCTTGCTTCTTGGCCCTTGTCTTGGCGCACAACGAGCGTGATGACTCGTTCACGGCCAAAGAACTCGTACGACCAGCTTCCCCTTGCGATCCATCCCCAATGTCCACCCTTGCCTCCGATAGCACAGAAGACGATAACCCCCATCAGCGTCCATCACCAAGATCTACCGGTAGCAGTTCGAGCCCCCTCATAGACGACAGTAGCGACTCTCCGTCATGCCCGACGATTCAAGCGTGGATGCAAGCCGTGTATCCACAAGTGAACTCTGCCTCGAGCGACCAATACAACAACCTCGTCACATCATTTTCGATGTGTTATCAACTCGTGCGGCAGCAGCTGCCTGTGCTTGTCGTCGTGCTACAAGTGTGCCTCCTTGTGAATTTAGTCCAATTCAATCGTATCTGTCAATGAACTAATCGTCTACCGGTAGACTTATAATATTAATAGTACCGGTATGGGTAAAAGTACTACAGTACTAACGTTACTACACTATTAAAAGTATAATAGTACTTCTAATATACTAGGCTACTACGGTAGTACTATTAATAGTACAGTATGCGTTTTATGGGATTGCCAGCACACAGAAACTACGCTTGACGGAGTTTAACGCAGTTTGGGACAAAACGTTTTTATTTCGTTCATGTCATCAATTGGAGCTCATTCTTCAACATGATGCACCTCTCGCCCGAGCATCAGCACCCCACCAAACTCGTGCTGACACTTCTCAGTGCGGCGCTCCTTCCTGGTCCGGCCATGCGCAACGTCCACGCGGTGGTCACTGGCAGCGACAAGACCTTCAAATGCGATCCATGCCATCGTAAAACCACGAAACCAACGTGGGAGGATGCCACGTTTGCGTTCGACGTCAGGGATAAAACCCACTTGCATGTTCGCGTCCAGCTTGTGGGGGTGAAGAACCTGTTGAAGCACAAGATTGGTCATTTTGATCTCTACTTGACCGAGCACCGCCTTGCGACAGAAGGCGAGCACTCGCTCGCGTGTCCATTGGTCGGTGGTGCCGGTGGTATCGTCAATGTAACCATGAGCTTGTTCCGCGAACCACAACATACCCGCGACTGGGCGCGGCGCCAAGTAGCTGTCAGTTCCCGTCGTCGGCGATGCCATTCGTTGCTGCAGTGTGTGCCGACATGGTCCACTCGCGAAGAGTTGTTCAAGAACGCCTGTGGCCGTTGCTTCTTAGCTCTGGTCGAGACCCACAGCATGTGCGATGACACATTCACTGCCAAGGAGCTGTTAAGTCACGACGCATCGTCGTCGTCCACCACGGCTAGCCATGATAGCAGCCACGAAGATCATCATAATCACCATGATTCGATCCAAGAAAGGACTCTAATGAACATGCTGCCACCAAGGGCCAGCCCCAACAACACAGACGACACGACTGCTCCGACGATTCAAGAGTGGATGCAAGCCAGACATCCCAACGGCGTGTTTCCATGTCATCCAAACGATCACCACCTCGACCAAGTCAAGTTGTTTCCTCTGCTGCTTCAACTCATGTGGCTATTACCGCTTAGTGCCATCGTCTTGCAACTGTGCATTGCCCACATAAGTCGTTAAGTGTTAGCACAACATGTATATTCATATATAACTACCAAGGGTACTTAATTAACGTAGATGGCCAGTTTATGGTGCACTTGAACCTAGACGTAATGGCGTCGTTGCCATCGCCTGATTGGTGGGATCGTTTAGAAGCCATGCCACTCATCGTGGGTGAATTGTGGGTCCAGTGTTCATATTCCTGCCAACACTCTGCTATTTGTCGGGGCTACAGTAGGGGGTTTCATGAAATTTCTGCCCAGCTTGTTCTACTTTTGAAGCCTCGTAACCCATCACCCGGGTGTGCGATGAGACTGCAAAAACATACATTCTCAACGTCGTGAGGAGCTTTATAAGTTAGTTGATGCAGGACCCATCGTTGTATCCCTTGTCCATTTTGCTTTACGAATTTGATGGCGTCTATCCATTGCGTCCTCTCAGCGTCGTCGTCGTCCTGCCTTGCTCGTGGTGACTCTCCCCCCTCTTGGCCCCCTGTACTAACCTTATGCTCTACATAACCCTGCACGTCGACGAGCTCTTTCGCTGCCGATCTGTCCATCACGTCCAACCCACGTTCACATGCGACTCTGTCGTTGCCAAGCCCCCCACCCCCTGCCAACCCCCCCAACCACACTACATGGAAATGCAACCTGGACATTCAACCGCCCAATCTTCAAGTAACGCACGTTCGCCCTGGAAGCACCCCCAAGGGCTACATGTCCACGTAGATGGGGCATGGCGATTTGGCCGTGTCTGCGTCATGTGAGTTGACGTTTTGGGCCAGCCTCACACCAACGGCGCATGCCAACTTCGCCTGTCCGTGCGACCATTGCCTTGGCCTCATGCGTCCACGTCATCCCCCCGGAGCCCCCTGGCAAGAGTCAAGCGACCCCCCCGTGATGACACTCCTTCGTCACTCGTGGGATTCCTCGTCGTGTGCGCTATGGCACAGTTGCTACCCCCCAAAGAAAGCGGGCGTGGTCGTGATGTACCCACCCCTCGATATGCCACGGGCACCACCGTCCAGATTGGTTGAGTATTCTTCTCCCTGCGGTCATTTGGAGGTCACGTCCGTGTCGCCATCCAAGTAGTGGCCTCATCGCTACCAGCCACGCCTTTTTTGCGTACATAGCCATACATAAGTAAGTATCTCCTACTTTGAGTGATAGAATGGCTTGTGTAGGTCTGGTCAGGATGCTACCACCATATTCTGTCAGAAAACGGCCGTTTTGCCAGGAAAAAGCTTGTAAAATAATAGAATTATTCAAAAACGTGTGTCTGGACGCCTCAGAAATCAGGAAAATTCCTCCAGAGTTTTCAGGTGATTTCCCCAATTATGGCAGAATTAAAATACACCCGATTTGGCGATTTGGCGTATTTTTTCCTCACACTTGTCCTAGCTCTACATTTGAAATATTCTTGAGAGACTTCCTAGAAAACTTGGAGACATCCAGACATTTCATGACCAACGTACATATTGCGTCAGTTTTTATTCGTGACTTTGGGAACTTGGAGAAAAAAGATAAAGTTGTCTTAGGGTGCGTCTGGTAACAGGAAATATTACAATATTCAGCTCCAAAACGCCATTTTGGGGCCGAATTCAACAAATCTGATAACAATTGAAACATGTCTTGCTCGAAGGAGATTTAACCCAAATCCAATAAATATTTCCACGTGGGATTCACTCGTTGAAGGGGTCCAAAACGCCATATTACAAAATGGACCTTTTACCTCCATTTTGAAAATGGCATTTTGGTGAATCCCATTTTGCCAAAAACTCGAATATTATTTTTGAAAAGTTACCAGACGGGCCTTTAAGTGTTTTGACGGAATATCACTGTGGTATCCAGACCTTAAACGGTATTGGTCTTTTCTCCTTGAACGGGTAGTGACCAACCCCTTTCTACATCTCCAGCACCCCCTTTGGCATGACACGAACCGCATCGCACGACGAGCCTTGCTGCTATACATTAACAGTACTTCAAAGTACTAGTATACTACTACTGTACTAGTATTAATTTAATAGTACTACAGTACGTAGTCATGAGAAATGATATTGATGCTTGGAGGTCTGGGTTGACATTCCCAGTCAAAACAAATACTAGTAACCTTATAAAAAGAGATAATATAAATCAATGCTTTTTTATTTACGCACAAATTATAGAAAGTAGATTCACTGTAAATCATCCATGGGGATGTGCCCAATAACGTTAATTTATCTTTTAAGTTACTACTATTTTAATTAAAGATAAATTAACGTACTGAGTTCAACTATTAAAATAGTAGTACTCAGTACGTTAATTTATCTTTAATTAAGTACGGCTACGTAGTACTACTATTAATAGTACATACTAGGTAGTACTAGGTAATAAATTGTAGTACAGTACTAGTACTACAATATTACACTGTAATACTAGTACATCGTACAGTACAGGACGCCCAGCCGCCGCCCAGCTATGACCACGCGCCACCACGTCATATACTTACTATATGCATACCGGTATATGCAGTCGATCATACTATCAAAACCAATCCCATCTCCACAATGCATGCAAGAACTAACTACTTCACAACCGAACGCCTGTCTAATAAACAGTAAACCAAACTCAACAATCAAACCGCTTTGGTTTCTTCTTATTCTTTGGCCGTGATAAACGTCAACAGGTCGATGCGGGTGACGACGCCAAAGATGACGCTCTTGGTCTCGACGACGCCGCCGGCCGAGTAGCGGCGCTGTTCCGTCACAACGAGCGCAAAATGGTCCTTGTCGAAGATACGGCTGAGCTCGGACAGCGTCGTGTGGGTGCTGACCTTTTTGAACTGCTTGTACATGGCTTTCGACACGGGATCACTGGGCAGAATGCGCCCGGGAAGGAGCTGCGCCGTGAGGTTGCCCTCGGAGATGACGCCCACAATCGCATTGTGCTCATCCACAACTGGCAAATTGTCAAAGCCCTCGGCCTTGAGGATGTCCACGGCTTCTTTGCACGGAAGTGACGCCGTGATCGTGTACGGGACGTTCAGAGGCAGCTCCGACACGAACTTCTTTGCCCACCACGCCTGGTTGGCAGGTTTCTTGTCCAAGTTTTGGACGTACCCGTGGTCGTACATCCAATCATCCGACAAAAACTATCACGAAATATAAGGTGAGAAGAAGAAGTATATAAATATTTATTTGAATACACTAGATATGTATGTATCGTGATTGGGGTATTTTGTGTGTTATATTTCCTCCAGCGGCGGTTGGTTGAATGAACCATCCAACAATCGCAGGACCTTTGACATTTTATATAAAACCAAGTTGAAGAGGTAGCTTTGTGACTACTGCCATGCATCAATAATCAATCTTTTTAGCCAATCAAGTTGCAACCTTCATTCTTTATAGCCAATCATACTCGTTTCCTCGATTAGTTGAAAAGCACAATGTATTACGCATAAAGATGGCATATTTACGATGCTTGGACACCCTTACACTTTCATATTAAATATTAAATATTCGTACCATATATATATATATATACACTCCAACCACCACAATCACCCCCCAACTAGGATATTTGATGATATACATCCACCATCCACACATGTAGTTTCGAAATCGAAAAAATATATAAAACCTTAGACAAAAAAATATTTTTTTTTCCAATTATATAATTTGTACCTTGGTCATGTAGTTGCGCGTCGAGTCGGGCAACATGACGACACATTTTTGACCGGGGAGGAGGTCTTTGGCGGCGATGACGGCGGCGGCCATGGCGGACCCGCACGACCCTCCGCAGAGCAGCCCTTCTTCCCGGATCATGCGGCGCGCCATCACAAACGAGTCCTGGTCATTGGTCTTGATCCATTTGTCGACAACATCGCGGTGGAGCACTTCGGGGATGAAATCGTACCCAATCCCTTCCACTTCATACGATTTCAAGCGCTATACTCATATATTTAAAAAAAATCAATACAGTGGAATATATATAAAATAGCCTAAGCAAACATACGTTGTGGTCGTTGAGCGTATCCGGCAGCGCCAAGATCGAGCCCTGAGGGTCCACTCCCACAACCACCACCGATGGACACTTTTCCTTGATCTTCTTGGCCGTGCCGGTGATCGTGCCGCCCGTGCCCGCGGAAATCACGAGCATGTCCACAACTCCGCCGCATGATTCGAGGATTTCCTCGGCCGTTTGGTCGTAATGGGCCAACGGGTTGGACGGGTTCGTGTACTATATATATATATATTTAGTGAGAATTTTTAGTTGTTGAACGTGTTTATGTGCTAAACTAATCGAAACACATCGAGCAAACAAGTATGATTGGCTAAAAAGCATCCAGGTGGTGCCATCGGATTGGTTAAAACGATTCAAAATATGATTGGCTAAAAGAATCCAGGTGGTGCCATCGGATTGGCTAAAACGATTCAAAGTTGCAAGATGCACATACTCTTGTTCACCGTCGTTTATGTATATGAGAGTTTATAGGGACCAAAGATTTCTTCAGGATTGTAAATTGGATTCTTTTTTGAAGCGTAAAATACGGAAAAATGAAGAGGGAATAAATAAAAAAAAATGGGAAAAATTGCTAAAAATTAGTTGAATTTTTAAATAAATATCAACGTACTTGGTCGAGAATGTGCGAGTTTTTGATTTCCTTGTTCAGGCGATTGGCGACCCCAATGTGGGATTCCGGCGAGTCCCACGCGGCTTCGGTCGGTGTGCGGACGATCTCCGCGCCGAGTGCCTTGAGGACATCGACCTTTTCCTGGGACATCTTCTCGGGAAGGGTGATGATCATGCGGAAGCCGTAGATGGCTGCGGCGAGAGCTAGGCCGATGCCCGTGTTGCCCGACGTCGGCTCGATCAGCGTGTCACCTACACCACCACAACATATGACCGTGGGGTCGTCGAGACAGGTGGAGCGTCGTCGTACCGGGCTTGATGCGGCCAGATGCAATCGCGTCTTCGATCATGCGCTTGCCAATGCGATCCTTTACGGATCCGCCGGCGTTGAAGAATTCGCACTTGGCCAACAAGTCGCACTTGAGACCGGCCTTCTCCGCGATCTACCACCACCAGCATTCGTGAATGAATGAATGAACAACGGGATGGGTGGATGTATTTTCTTTGCATGTGGACGGTCATACCTTGTTGATGCGGACCAAAGGGGTGTTACCAACATGATCCAAGATGGTGTTGAGGATCTTCGGTTCGCGCCAACTGTACATTCCCGTCGTCAGTTAGGATAAAGCAAAGTGTGACTGACGTAGGTGGGATAGGGCTTACCGATCGTCGTGGGAATGCGGAGTCTTGATGAAGCAAGACGTGTTCGTGCAGGGAGTGCCAGCCATGTCTATCGTCGTGTCCTATCGGGGCAACATGACGTTAGAGACGCGCGGCGCGGCTGCGGCGACGACCTACCTAGAAGCAACTGAATCGAAAAGTGTGGAAACCACACCTCAACCACATCCAACTGTGCTGAATCATCAAGATTAATCCATTAATTTTAGCCAATCACAATACGCCAGAGAAATCATGCCTCTTTGATTATAGCCAATCAAAATGCAGTATTCGACCGACAGAGGTCGGGATGGCGTAATCTGGATACACTTGACACCAGGTGCTGCCCTACACCTCACATGTCGTCGCGCCCGTCGCCCGCCGCCGCCCTGCAAGCGTTATGCAAAGCAACAGTAGTTAGTAGGTTGGGCTGTGCTTCAGTAAGCCCTTTCATAGGAATAAAATAGATTCGAGCCCTAGTTTTAAGCCGACGTCGTACTAGTATACAAATGACACCTCCCACACTGGAACCGTGGGCTCCCAGCCAGTAATTTCGCGGTACTTCAACGTTCATGGGTGCATGTGACAGACGCGACCAGCCCTCTCCACCCAAGGAAGCTTTGGACGGGGAACCACAACTACTAATACTTAATAACTCCACTAAGTTATTTATAGACCTACAGTACTACTAGTAGCATCGGGGGGAATTTCTAGGGAGGGGCCTTATGAACGACCCGGTACAGTACTAGTACCGTACTGTACACAATATCTACGCCGGGATTTTTCGTCCAGGGTAGCAAAACTTAAGCCGAATGAGTTCGTTATGGGTAGTTATTTCGACCGCCATAGTATTGGGTACCTTATTTAAGACCGAAATTTAATACTATTAATATATTTTGTATACCCATACAATTTTATAGTTATATTGAAAATCATATGTTCATACTTGGTCGAAAACATTTAAATATTTTGATCAGAATGTAAGGTAGCAATCATTAACTTGTTGTGGCACATCGTCGGTACATAACCCCGAAAGGCATTAAACAAGCAACTCCTTTATTGAAAAGTTAGCCGAGCTGACGCACTCAACATAGTCGAATAAATAATGTTCTCTTGCAATGACGACAGGTTTGCATCAAAGGCAGAAGTCGATCCACACATAGGATGCTGACCGCAGGTTTCGAACGCCCTCGCAATCCACTTATCCTTGACGACAGCAACACCGACTATCCCACCGAATCTTGCAAGTTGCGTACAGTAAGAGCCCACGCGTGGTGGTTCGCCAAGACTTCGTACTCCTTAACGCCGATCTGCGCGACGACTTTGTGCTTGAGGAACAAGACGAAGACTGGATGCAACTACAGTAGTTAATCATTCATATTCATTTGTCCTTTTGAGTTGATATAGTAAGGTTAGTATATTCGTTTGCACTTTCAGCATAATACGGTATTGTTCTGATTTCACAAAGGTAGATACTGTATTTCGACCGCCAATTCTGGCAGGGTAGAAAAATTAAGCCGCCTTCGGCGGCAAGGGTAGTTATTCTGACCGCGAAGCACCCAGGGCTTTTTTTGTAGGGGTAGTTATTGTGTACGGTACGGTACTTCCTAACGTTATCAATAGTCGAGTTACTACAGTACTAGTAGCACTGGGGGGAACCCACTGGGGGGAACCTCCTGGGGACAGACAGGGCCCTATCTCCGCGTAGATGATCTCCCTAATCAGTACTCCGAGTACTGTCAATCAACTTAACCCTTTGCAAGACTTCGTGATGCTTGTAGCCAATGAATGGCGTTGGCTCGTGAATGTTTGCACCTACACTGTAGTTCAGAGGTAAAGTACGATGCAAGTTCATAAGGGGATGTAGCTATGCTTCATTCGTCCAGCTGGTCGGTTACACGTGCCCGTAACGTTGGATGCTTTCGATGCCATCCTACCGGTGCATATCCCAAACTCACAGCTACAGTAGTACGGGGGTTGCGGGGTTGCTACCATAAGTTACCTCAACTTCCACAAGCTGGGAAGGACAAAGACATGCTCCAAGCATGTAGTAGTACAGCTGTAGTACTCATCCCGCTGTTCTTGGACGACTTACTTACTTCCACATCAGTACTTCCCATTTCCTTATTTACGGTTAGTAAGTACTATACCATTGGTACTGTAGTATATTTTTAGAAATGGGCATTTTTACACAAATTACTATACATTCAAGACCAAATCAGCCAATCAGAGATCCCCATGAATTGTTTGACCCTAACAAAGATACGAAATCCCCGAATCCCAGCAATTTGGTTGGCTGAAAAGATGTAATTATACTTTTTTAGCCAATCGTAGGGGACTATTCTGGCACACAGCCGCCGCAAGAGTTTTTTTTTGCCGCCTGTCCCGGATGTTTTTTAATTTGTAGGGATTTATACGGTCGGAAGGCGGTATTTTTATGCGGAAATTCAATTCGGTCGTTGAAGTACACGTCGACGCCACCACCGCTTCCGACGATGTGGACCCGCGTGAACCTGAAGAAGGAGACGGTGGTCGTGGATTCCCGGCAGGCCAAGGCGTATCGGAAGGCATGCAATGACTTTTCAGATGCGTTCATGGAAGGAAAGTACGTGTCGTCGACCTTGATATGTGTGTGTGTGGCGGTACGGACTCACATGTTGTTCCACGCAGATATACACTGCAGGACCTGCTCAATGAGACCATGAGCGAAGGCCTGTTGGTGTTCATTGCCGACCACATGCATCCATCCATGCGCAGTGCGTTGCATGGCACGGAACGCATCAACGAATGCGCGGCGCTAGCGTTGGGGTTAAGCCAGGACGTGTCCAAGGTATATACATACATACATGTACCTCTTCTGCAATACATCTCGATGTTGCATGAACATGATTTGTATGGTGCATGCAGCCTGTGTCGAAGGAAACGCAGGATTTCGCGCTCGGACTGACGCTGCTGCTCAACACGAAGAGCACCGTGGTCCAATGTTGCACGACCTATCAACCAGGACATGCCGACCGCTGCACGGGATTTTGGGCGTGGTGCTTTGAAGCGATGGTGGACGCAGTGACCACCCACACCAAGTTCCACTTGCCCCCAACCGACGATGCGCTCGGTCGCATGTGCGCCGCCTTCTCCACGGTACGACGCCCTCCATCTTCATTGATCCTCCATGATGTTACGTCGCAACGGAACTATCTTCGCAGTTGATACATGTATATGTACTTGTTGGGCTCCATATTTGTCCAAGTATTGTTGATTCCGACATATATAGTGCGAATGATGTATATATATATATATATATATGTAAATATCTCATGTTCTTATTGATGGGGTACGAATTTCCGGACCCCGTTCAATCAAATCACGTTTGACCAAACCGATCACGAATCACTCCCATTCGTCAAGCTGGAAATACTTGTCGAGATTGATATATATATACTCGAAGTATATATATCATAGTATATACAGTTGATTCGGACAAACATGAGATTGATGATATATCTATCTCATGTTATCTATATAGTTGATTCGGACAAACATGAATTGATATATATATATATATATGAGTTATGAATGTATATATATATAAACATGTTTTTTTTTTTTAGTTATGGATGTACATATATATAAACATGAGTTATGGATGTATATATATATATCCTTGAAACTATTTCCCACCACGACCCTTCCAATCGTGGTGGTGGTGTTTGTTGTGGGCGTATCATCCGTTTTAGATGAACATATTTTTAATAAAAATATAAAAATTCTTTCTCCTCATGGGTAGCTCATTCGGCATGTCGTGATGAACTGGAACAAGGGCACTTGTGTGCTGTTTCATCTGAGCGAACACCCGCCCCACGTCCGCCTCCTTCTGGACCTCGTCGAGTTCGACGACATGCGCGACGCGATCGTGCGCCTCATCTACTGCGACCACTCGTACGCCGCCATGGAGCTCGTCAAGCGCACCAAGATCATCTCGCTGCTGCTCCACCGTCTCACGGCGCTGGACTGGTCCGCCGACAAGGACAACGTCGAGAGTGTGCTGTGCTCGCTCGTGTTTGCGCCATACATTTCACCCCGCGGCGACCTCATCTTCATCAAATCTATCCCCAAGGATAAACTCACGGGCGAGCCAGACTACGTCCAGCTGTGCGGCACATCGCGGGATATGGCGTATACCCCCATGCGCCTCTTTACGTCCAGGGTAAGATGACCAAGAAGCATGAGGTCGGGGGTTGAGTAGGTATAGGTGGTGGATTGTATATATATATATATATATTGTATTTTTTATCTGATACAAACGTACTCGGGGGCGGGTGAAATACTCCGATGGGTATATATATATATATTGTTCTCGACGAATCCTCTGTATTCTTCAAGAGAAGGAAGACGTGTAGGGTGGTGTCAGTGGATACGCCGGTTGGTTGAATCAACGACAATGGATGAACCTGCGAAATATGATATATATTGATATTACGCTGTAAAGTTAAGTTCGCTCAGCGGGCACATAGTGGCCACGGCCGCGTACTAGCTGCAATTAAGCTAGCGGACTTTACTAGCGAAATATGATATATATATATATCCAAGTTAAAGAGGTGTCTTCAACTATGTGGAATTTTTCTAATCAATCATGGTATAATATCCATTTCTATTTGAGCTAATTATGCTTCTTTTTGGATTTGTTGGCGACAATCTGCCGAAAATTGGCTAAATTGGGGAAAGACTCAAAATTTGGTGGTGTGTTTAGCGAATATGTTGATATATGCGTTGGTGCATATATATATATATATATTTACGTATTGATGGCATATACATTATCTATGGGCAGTTCATTGGTTGACGTCCTGGCAACCGTGCCACGTACGCAAAACCTGGGAAATTACATATATCAAATTATGAATTCAAATCGAATCTTCGTGAAACCGTATATGCTTACAACCACGAGGGCAATTTGATTCGATAGGATTCTACTTTATTTTTATAAATATAAAAATAATTATAATATAGAACAACAACTTATAATTATATTTAATTTTTCTCTTGTTAATTCGGTTCTGTTTCTACATAATATTTGGTCTTTTTTCTACTTGGGCTTTTGAATCATATCATGTTGCTTCGATACAATTCCTTCCGTTCTGTTTCTATATCTAATATTTCGTCTGTTTCAATTTGGACTACAAATAATCATATCGTGTGATCAATTTCCCAATAGAAAATTCGCCATTTGGTGCACATGGTTATGGAGCAGCAGCACGTGCCAGCGATTGCGCAAGGCATGATGGACGAGTTTTTGCATTACAGCCCCACGTCTGTGCGAGGTAATCATAGTTGTCCCTATCTGTACTACAGACAACGAGGGAATTTAAGGTTCATCGAAGTTTTGAGTGTTACTTTTTTCAGCCAATCAGCAGCAAATCACGAAATACTTCAATTTCTATTGGTGAATTTTTATAGTACGTTTCGAACTACGCTATCCAATCATATCGTGAAATTTGCGCTACACACAGAACTTCGATGAGCCTTAAATTCCCTCGTTTTATGTAATGTATATATCTCATAGTGTAAATGATAGTGTCGTTTGCATGCACGAGGCAATTCACGTCGTTGTGCGAGCTCGTGACGACGGTCGAGTTTTCCGAACGCACGGGCAAAGGCCATATCGGGATCGAGTGCCAATACATGCACTGCCAGACGCACGTGCTGATCCAAGATACGCTGGTCGTGAACGGCCAATCAGATGTGTCGTCGTCTGTGCTTTTGAACTGTATGTTGGGGCTGAGTATTCACGGGCCAGACTCGGCTAGTCCGACAGTTATAGCACTCGAGAGTATCGTGGGGGTGGAAGCCAAGTCGGACGTGGACCTGGTCGTGCATTGCAAAGGTATGATAATATGATTCGAGTTTTTTGACGAGTGTTTCGTTTATAACGAGGTATTGAAAACACGTTTGGAACGGTGAGACCTTGTTGATACAATTATTATTGTATATATGTGGAATTGGGTAAAGTGGGCATATTTCACATGTCCCAAGTTGGATCTTGATTTTGCCAAATAACCTTCGAATCCATGTGATCTCATTGAAGCTTGTACAAAGAATAAAAAATAATTTTAAAAATTATTTATATAAATTTAATTTATATAAGCAAACAACTATACAAAGATTGAGATATATATATGTGGGTTTGCCCCATACGGAGGGTCTGGGCCGAATCAAACGTGTTGGGATTGGTAGAAATTCACCAGAACGTGATTTGATTGGCGTAGGCGGTGGTGCTTGAATTCATTCTCTTAGAACAAACATTCGAATGTGCTGATGGCTCCAGTTTTGAATCGATTTGACAATATATTATCATATATATATATATATACTCGATGGGATCGTCTTTGTGATTGATATGATCATGATGCTGGCTTGAATGTACCATGTGCAATGGCTAGACACCACTAAACATATGCGAGTCTTAACTTATTTCAATACGAAAATATTAGTATACATGATTTAACCTGTGAATATATTGTCGATTTGATACATATTTGGGAAGGGGGTGCAATCGAATCGCGCCAACCAAACCGATCCACAATCGATCTGATTGGTTGAATTTCATTGATAAGGTTTTGATTGGCTAATAGTTTTAAGCTCATCTGAAGTAGCCAATCAAATCGATTTAAATTCCAACGAGAAACCACAACACAATGAAATTTCACTCGAAAGCACAATATAAAGTCTACAATATTTTTGAAAGCGAAAAAGTGTACTAGACCTGCTTTGTCCATCTCGTGTACATCACCCAGATCATTCGAACGTGATTACGACGTGAATATATATATATATATATTTCAAATACGAACTACTACAACATTATCCAAAGGATAGTTCCATTTGTCTTATATATATATACATCTAGTAATATTATGCTTCCAACAACAACAAATAGCCGTGTCACACATATATATATATATATATGATTGTATAGGTCGAGACGACGTGGTGCTGACCACACGGTCGAAACCTGACAAACGCAAGTGGATCACCCATCTCGAGAACGCGCTCAAGGGCAACGTGGACGAGCTCGACATCTTTTGTAGCGACGATTGGAAGTCCAATATTGAGGAGTACCAGGGCCTGCGCCTGGCGGTAGTCGATACGATGGAGAAGCGCGCGGGGGAGCTGGCGGCGGCGGTCGTCACGGGCGGTATCCGCGCTGCATGGCCGTTGCTCCATCTTTGCGACCTCATTCAAGCCATTGTGGGCATGCAGTCTAAACGGTATCGCAGATGATATACCATATCTCACCCGGCACTGTATATATATTAT